GGGAGGTTAGGAGGCTGAAGGTAAAGGTGATGGACTGGCCAAGCATGTCTCCAGACCTAAACCCTATTGAGCATCTGTGGGGCATCCTCAAACGGAAGGTGGAGGAGCACAAGGTCTCTAACATCCACCAGCTCCATGATGTCATCATGGACGAGTGGAAGAGGACTCCAGTGGCAACCTGTGAAGCTCTGGTGACCTCCATGCCCAAGAGGTCAAGGTAGTGCTGGAAAATAATGGTGGCCACACAAAATATTGACACTTTGGGCCCAATTTGGACATTTTCACTTAGGGGTGGACTCACTTTTGTTGCCAGAGGTTTAGACATTAATGGCATGTGATGAGTTATTTTGAGGAGACAGCAAATTTACATGTTATACAAGCTGTACACTGACTACGTTACATTGTAGCAAAGTGTAATTTCTTCCATGTTGTCACATGAAAAGATATAATAAAATATTTACAAAATGTTTAGGGGTGTACTCACTTCTGTGGGATACTGCATATGTAAAAAAAATAAAAATACAGAACATAGAAAGTAAAATTCTATCCTATGTTATGTATTTACTGAAAAGATGAAAAGACCACCCAATAAACCAACCACATTAGCCACCCAAGCAATCAAAGGAGAAGAAATGAAAGGGAACTGTGTAGATGTTAAAAAGTCATTTAATAGTAGCAATCTCTATTTCTTTGTTCAATCCACCGGGAGAGAGAGTGCATCTAAGGGTTAGATCCAGTATGTTTCCCTTTTGCAGAGCCTATGAAACTGCTCTGTTTCAGGGAGACACTTGGACATCTGCTCTATAATCCATACTTGTAGGCCCTCTGTGGACTATTTAAGAAACTCCATGAAGTTGCAGGGAAAACTATGTTTCTCCTTTTCTTCTTCCACTAGACGGCAATGTTTACAAAACCACTTTCTAAGCGGGCAAATAGTTTGACCTACATAAACAAGATTTCAAGGGCAGATTAAACAGTATATGATAAAATCTGAGGAACAATTGTAAAATTCCACTAACCACAAGCCTACACGGCACTTATACCCCCTTCCTGCCCAGGCCAATTTCCAGCTTTCAGCGCTGTCACACACTTTGACAATTGCGCGGTCATGCAACACTGTACCTAAATGACATTTTTATCATTTATTTTTGTGATAGATAGAGCTTTATTTTGGTGGTATTTAATCACCTCTGGGTTTTTTTATTTTTTCTTAAACAAAGCAAAAACCACTGAATATTTTGAAAAAAAAAACGTTTTTTCTTAGTTTTTGTTATAAAATTTTGTAAATAAAAGTGATTTTTCTCCTTCACTGATGTACGCTAATGAGGCTGCAGTGATGGGCACCGATAGGCTGCACTGATGGACACTGATAGGTGGCACTGATGGGCACTGATGAGGAGGCACTGGTAGGTGGCACTGATGGGCATTGACAGGCATCACTGATGGGCACTGATAGGTGGCACTGATTGATGGCACTGCCTGGCATTGATAGGTGGCACTGACTGGCACTGATGGGTGACACTGAAAGGCAGCACAGATGGGCACTGATATGTGGCACTGATGTGGCACTGATGGGCACTGGCAGGTGGCATGGATGAGCACTGAGAGCTGGCACTGATGGACACTGGCAGGTGGCACTGCTGGGGCTACACAGATCATCAGGGCACACTGGTCATCAGTGCTCTGATGATCAGTGTACATGTCCCCGCCAAAGAATGCCGATTACTGGCTCTCCTCTCCTCTGTCATCGTGACAGCTCGTGGAGAGAGAAATGCTGATAACCAGCATTTCCCTGTTTACATGTGATCAGCTGTGATTGGACACAGCTGATCACATGACCGAGCCGTCATCTTTGGCTCTTTCCATGGATCGGTGATCTGCTGTGTCCGAGGCACACAGCACACCGTCGATCGCCGCCCTACGCGATTCAGGAGCCGCGCATGAGTGGTTAGAATGGGAGGACATCATATGACGTCCTCCCAGAACGAGAGAGCCACCTTGCGTCCGGCATATTACTATATGGCGGGCGGGAGGTGGTTAATTTGTAAGTTTTTCATTTGATAGTAAATCACTTTTTTCCATGTTTGACGAAACAACAAGTTTTACACAGTGCTTTTTTACATTGGTTCATGCCTTGTAGTAAAATACGACAAGGTTGAATGGATAAGGCAGTATAGGTGGACTTCAATTTACTGGGAAAAATTTTGTTTTTAGGTTGGGGGCCCTTCTATATGTTACAAGAGGTCTGTTGGAAGAATAGGCTTAAGATGTGGCCCCTCTAATAGGATGTTCCAATGTTTACTCAAGATGTTCTCCATTTTGTGATACTGATGGTGAAATCTACTGGTGAAGTAGTGATCGGAGACTTCTTTTTCTTTGCTATCAGGTTTTCCATTTCCATCTTGCTCTTACTGCCACTGTGAAGATGATTGGCAAAGCATGGAAAACATCCACCCTTTCTATAGCTGATACCTAATCTCTAATCACACAGACTATGGTGCATAAGAAATCAGGCCAGGCTGTCTGACACAATGCAAAAATACTCCACTATGTTGTGCCCTGGTTCACACACTTCTCCCATTCGGAACTGATGTGGCCCTGCCAGGGGCGGACTGGCAACTCATGGGGCCCCTGGGCAATAGGGGATCATGAGGCCCCTGTGTCCTTGCCCAAACTCAAAAAAGCCTATGATAAAGGTACCAGGGGCATCTCATGGGGCCCCCTACTGACCCCGGGCCCTCGGGCAGTGCCCGAGTTTCCAAATGTTCACTCCGCCCCTGGGCCCTGCTGTGTCTTTAGGCCTGAGTTAACAGCTGCCTCTTCTGCTAATCCTGTCAGAGCTCCGGGTATGACCAGAGGTATGTGAACTGACGCAGGGAAACGCAGGCTTCAGATATGTTATAAACAATATAATTTATTAATACTAACAATACATAAACGCAGTGCAATACTAAAACATAACACAGTGCAAACGAACCAAACCAAATCACCCACAGATAACAATACATACAATGCAAGCGTAGTCAGGCAGGCCGGGTCAATAACAATTGGGCAGGTAGGAACAGGAGGAGCAGGCAGAGAGTAGTCAGGTCACGAGCCGGGTACAGCAACTAACAGGCAGGTAGGTACAGAGGGTCAGGCAGAGAATGGTCGGGGTCACAAGCCAGGGATCAAACAGGAGAAGTCAGCAGAGGTACGGATCAGGCAGGGTCGGCAACAAATCAGTCAGGCAGAAACAGGAACAGGAATGCAGGTAAAAAGATACAGGGGCCCATGGAAAAACACACACCAAGGCACAGACTGCAGGTCTGGCCATCCCTTAAATACACCTGCAATCAGCCTCAGGTGTTTGGCTGACTGCAGGGTTGAGTCTCTGATTGCTGAGAGCACTCACTGGCCAGCCCTGGTACTGCAGCCCACAAGGCAGGTGAGTCCCACCATTATTGGCAAGTCCATTCCTGACAAATCCTCTTTTGTACCTATGCTCACTCCTCCCTCCTTCTGTTTCCTTTTTCTTTACCCCCTCCCCCAGAACCTTACCAATCTACCTGGATGGATTGAGAGCATTCAGCCAATGAGTTATAGTTGGTTTTTTTTCTGTCTCAATATTTTTAATAGTAGCTACACTTGTATTATTGTCTACTGTTGAGACATATTCTAGTTGGTCAAATTGTATCTTTATTCTGTCATAAATCACAACTTCAGTTGTTACCTTTGTTGTATTTTGGATGTTTGTAATGAAATGGCAAAACAATTAATACAAAACTACGGAACCTAAACTAAATCACACATTACAAAAAAATAAATAAATAATTTTTCTATGTAGAAAAACAAATAGTAATTCCCAAGAAAATAGCAGACTCTCAGTGTTTCAATGCAATTAATTGAAGTTATTTATAAATCATCATGAGATCATTTCCCTATGTAGTAAAAATAATGAATCCCAAGAAAATTATAATATGCAATTCTGACTCCAGGTGTTTCCATGTAATGAATTCTATTTATTTATAAAAGCAGAAATACTACTCATTGAAAAACAATTTAAGATTCTGTAGGCAAACATCTTCAACTGCATTGATTTTTTTTGTGATTATTACATAATGTAAGTAAATCAGTACTTTCTCTCTATATGTATATCATTCAAAATAACTCTTCAATAATTGTATAAAATAAAATCATCAATGAAAAGAGCACATGGGTACCTTGAAATCAAAGCATTGGAAGCACTATTTTGCCTTTATCATCCACTTTCTTAGTAGTACAAATATTTTTTGGTGGCTCCTTACAATTGTTTTGATTTACCACTAATATTATTGGAAGAACTTGGTATCTTCTCTGAATTAAGAAGATGGAATTTTTTTTTCCTTCTGTTCGAAGATGATCAGGATGTAGTAACTCATATAAAACATTCACAATGAAATTGAAACTGAACTCAAATCATTTACTGAAATAAACAAAGCTGATTTATAAAATTGTAATCTTCTTCCTTCAGCTGATGGATCAGAGAAATGTGACCAGAATTACCACAATCCACCTCGTAGGATTTCAGATTCCTCAAAGTATTACAATTTTGGTGTTTTTTTTTTCTTTTCCTTATACTTTATTGTGTGACAATATGTGGAAACCTCCTGATCATCATATTGGTGTCCTACAGCAAAGTCCTCCATTCCCCCATGTACTTCTTCCTCTCCCAGCTTTCTGCATTGGATATAATACTGTCCACTGATATTCTTCCTAACATGATCAACAATATTTTGGTAAACAAGACAACAATGTCATTTTCTGATTGTCTCACTCAGTTTTCTTTCTGTGTCATCACAGAATGTTCAGAGTGTCTTCTTCTGACGGTGATGAGTTGGGACAGATATTTGGCCATCTGTAAACCATTGCATTATACTTTGAAAATGAACTACCAAGTTTGCTGGATGCTGGTTTTCCTATGCTGGATTTCTGGGATTTTATTAGTATTGATTTACAATTTAACCATATCAAATTTACAGTTTTGTGGCCCCAATGTCATTGATCACTTTTTCTGTGACTTTGATCCTATCATGCAACTCTCCTGCTCTGACACCACCATTGCTCGTTTAGAGCTGACAATTTTGGGTGTTATTGTTGTCATTTTCCCATTTTTCACCATCTTTGTATCATATTCTTATATTATAGTCACCATTTTGAAAATTCCATCCATTACTGGCAGACAGAAAGTTTTCTCAACATGCAGCTCCCACCTGACTGTTGTGTCCATTTATTATGGTACCCTAGTTTGTGTTTATTTGACACCTAGGAGAGGACAGACTCAAACCCTAAATAAGCTCTTATCATTACTGTACACTGTTGTCACCCCAATGATGAATCCAATTATATACAGCCTGAGGAACAAAGATCTGAAAAAAGCTGCTAGAAGATTAATCAACCACTTACTGAAGATTTGTTTCAGTAAAGAGTTTAAATTTGAGTAATAATTATGCCATAAAGGAAGGAAAACAACATACCAAAAATAAAACATGGTTTGTCTCAATCTATGCAAATAAAAGGTACATACGGCTCAGCAAAAACATACATCAAATTATGGAATGTGGCTATCCTTCCATTCACAAAGTTTCATGATGCTAGATATTTATTGGTTAGTGGTAATGGTAAGATTATAGAAGCATCAAATATCCCACCCTTTGTTGTGTTTACATGGGTACCCTTGGTGGTCTACAAAACCTTCATATATGGAAGTATTTGATTGACAGCACAGAGCCACTGTGAAACAGAGAGGGGAGAGGGCTGCATCCATCTAATAGCAATTTGTTTTTGAGCTAGAAATAAGGTCTCTCACGGTAATGTTCTGGCACATCCAGGCCATTGTTTCTCATCTATCAATCCCAGAAGACACACTGGCAGAGAGAAGTTGAGAAAGTTAATATGTAACTTGAGACCAATAAGGTACAAATTTGAGTAAATATTTATCAGTAATATACAAATCTATAAATAAATGAACTTGCTTCTGCATAAGGGACCTGAGCAGAGAAGCAAAAGTTATCTCTAAGGTCTGCCATACAAGGATTGAAATGTAATATCAAAAAGGCATCAGCCAACCCCAACCAAATACCCCTAGAAATGTGAAGCCTCCTTCCTGTAGTGATAATTAACCACCAACAATACTAATGCAGCAGTAAAGAAGTTTCAGGTGCTACAAAATAATACAATATCACATTAATAATAAATTAAAAAATAAAATATGTTAAAAAGTCTCTGAATAAAGTCCACCACAGCATTTTTCACAGTGGTGTGGACCTTGGTGGCACTGGCAAAGGATTTATTTGAGAAGCCCTGAAGATTTATTGCACGGTGGTGTGATGGACTTTATTCAGATACTTTTTGACATAGTTTATTTTTGAATTTATTATTGATGTGATATTGTATGATTTTGTAGCGCCTGCGACTCCTTTTTTGTTGATATAGTAATGTAATGTACAGCGCTGAGCGAACCATTGGCACTTTATAAATACTGTATAATAATAATAATAATAGTATGGATTGAAATTTGTCTGCTTTAGCAGGAACTGGCTGAATTTCTACTGATGGACTTCTGATTCAATACTGTTTATTGATTTTTCAAACAAAGCATTGGAACAAGGAAAGTATTAAGAATGCCCCCAATAAAAATAGATTGTACAAACCTATGGAGCTTCAAGTGTGTTAAATAATACAGCAAACATTCAACATGGTATACAGAGTCGGAGCTGGCATGGTATGGAATACACATAGAAATAAACATACATCATATATCCTGCAGGTATATATCTATACCATTGATATGTTCAAATATAATGATTTGGGGTTTAGAGTTGTAGAATAGAGAAACCAGAAGAGACTGAGGTAGAAATTACAGGAGAGATAGAAGGTGAAGACATAGCTGTGTGCACCTAATTAAGAGACGGGGTTTCAGCAAGTACAATATGATTTGAACCAGATTGACCAGGGTACTCAGGCATGTATCAGTTTGAAGTAGGTACATCTATCGGTTGCAAGAGTCTTATTGTATATAGTGTTCTTGAACCTGCTTAATAACATCCAGTGCTGATGGAGTGGTGTTTTTTTTCCCAGAGTTTAGTAATATTTTGTCTTGCCGTTAATAAGATGTGGGTTACTATTTTATGTTGGTGATGAGGGATGGAGTCAATATTTAAATTTAACAGTGCCTAATCAGGTTAGGGAGAGATTGGCTTGCATACTGTTTGTGTAATTATAGAGAACACAGCTAGCCAATAGGTAGTCAATTTAGGGCATTTCCAAAGGATGTGGATCATTGATCCATTTGATCCACAGGACCGCTAACATCCAGGAGATGAGTGGTCACAGAAATTGGCTATTTTTTATTAGAGTGATATACCTGTGTTGTGTTATACTTTGTGTTAGCTCCCACAATGAGGAACAGTTTGTAGCTTTATAAATAGAGAGTAGGGCTGTTTGCCATTGGTGTGCTAAATAGCTTTGGTTCAAACTAGTTCTGGGAATATTGGGAGTGATGGAAGATTGTTTTCTCTTGGAGAATGTTATAAAAGAGGAAGATGCTTTGGAGTTCTTGTGAGTGGGTGTGAGGAACATTATGGTTTGGTGTTTTATGGGTGTTTGGAGCTGGGGTTTGTGGCGGATACAATGGGTGACTTGAAGATATAGGCAGTGGTTTCCAGGAGGTAATCCTAATTCCAATCTCAATTGAGAGAATGACTTGATCTGGGTAAATAGATTGTTTAGTTGTAGGGTGGTTTGTGTAGGCCATAAGTGCAAATTAAGGTCAGGAATTAGTAGTTGTATTGTAAATAGTGGCAGGTTTATGGTAAAGGTTGGTGTTTTGGTCCAAGCATGTGCTAGAAGTTTATGCCATATTTCAATTGCTGCTATAATAGTAAGGGGGAGGTGCCTGGGTATGTTTGATTTTGGGTGTAGACTGCATAACCATTGCTTTAAGTTCTGACTGGGTACAGCAGTCCTTTCTAATTTACCCCATAAAGTAGAGCTAGGGACAGGTATAGGAAGGGTTTTAAAAAGATATAACAGTTGGGGAAGGGTAATCATTTTGAATTCTGCCAGTCGCCCAGCCCAGGAGAATTTGTGTTTGGAAAGTTGTTGTAATGTTTGGGTAAACTTTAATTGAAATAGTATAAAGTTTTCTCTAAATAAGTTATTTGGATTTTTTGTTAAGATGATACCCAGATAATTGATACACAAGTCTGCCCATTAGAAAGGGTAGTTCATAGTCATTATGTTGCGGGTGATACCGTCAACTCCTAAATCCAAAATGTGAGATTTGGAGGCATTTAATTTATAATATGAGATCTCACTAAATTGTTGTAGAACAGAGTACATTACTGCTAGAGAGGTTTGGGGGTTTGTGATCATCAATACAACATCATCAGCAAATAATTTGATTTTATGCTCTGTGTCATCGATCCGAAAGCCGTAATTCATTTTGAAGACCTGAAGTGTTACACCAAGGGTTCCATGGCTAAGTTAAATATGAGTGGGGACAATGGACAACCCTGATTGATTCCATTAGTTATGTGAAACGGGGTAGATATCATTTCTGCAACGTATACTTGAGCTGTTGGATTAGTATACAAGGCCATGAGAGCTGTTAGTATGCTATTATAGAATCCAATTTTAATGAGTACCACATAGCACTTTATCGAACACCTTCTTTGCATCTAGAGAAAGAAGCAGAGAAGGCGTTCTAGTACTATGCGCTAGGTGAACTATATTGATCAGTCGTCTGGTCGTTTCTGAGAATTGTCTTCCTATGACAAAACAAGCCTGATCACTTTTAATGAGAGATGGCATAATATTCATGAATCTAGAAGTCAATAGTTTAGCATAGAGTTTTAAATCAGTGTTCAGCAGCGAAATAGGTCTGAAATTTTGTGGTATAGTAGGGTACTTTCCTGGTTTGGGTAATGCTATCACTGTGGCATTTAACTTTTCATGAGGGTAGGATGGGGAGGAGGCAGCATTGTTGAAGAGATCGCTAAGGCATGGGGCTAGAAAATGTTTGAATTGTCTATAATATTTCCATGGGTGTCCATCTGGTCCGAGGGCTTTGCAATTGGGGAGAGAATCAATACTGTGGATAATTTCAGGAATGGTAAAGGAGAAGTTGAGGCTATGAAGTTGGGTATCTGAGAAGGGAGTTGGATTTGGCCTAAAAAGTTTTCTATTTTGTCAGGTGTGGGTTGATAAATTGAATGGTTATTTTGGAGGTTATATATGGCTTCGTAATAGGTGATGAAGGCATTATCCATATCTTGGGGGTTGTAGATTTTCTTCTGGTGGTAGGGTGTAGTATGTCTGGGATTTTCGTTTTGTTGTGCTGGCCTCGAAGGGGTAGCACCATAGCTTTGCCCACTTTATTGCTGGTGGAATAAAGTGTTGCTTTAAGCCTTCGGTGTGTTTTTTCAAGAGAGTCTAGTAGTAGGGATCTTAGTTCTTGCCGTAAGGCAAGTAATTTAAGTTTAAGGCTATGGTGGGGGAGATGTTTTGTTTAGTGTGTCTATGGAATTTATTTCATCTAGAATCTCATCGACTCACTGCGTCCTCCTTTTTTTTTGCACTAGAACTTAATTATATTAAACCCCCCCGATTAATACCTTATGGGTAGGCCATAGAGTCGCTGGATAATCTACTGAGCCAGTGTTGTTTTCGAAGAATTCCATAAGATGTTGGTGAAGCTTATGGAGCATATGGAGCGTATGGAGCGTATGGAGATGACTTCATGATATAGGTGTTAGCTCGCCACATGTTAGCTGAAATCTGAGGGGGAGAAGCAGTGATAGTAAGGCTAACAGGAGAGTGGTCCAACCACGAAATGGGGGTCAGTTGTGGATTCAGAGATCTGCTGTAGGAGCCACTTATTACCAAATAGTAGTTGATCCTCGAATAAAAATTGTGTGGCTTAGAGGAAAAGGTAAAGTCACGTTCAGTTGAGTGTTGGCACCTCCATGCATCATAAAGGTAATTTGCTTGAAGGAAATGTTGCATCAGAGAAATATGTCTAGTAGCTGATCTCACACTGCTCTGTCACTTGAGTAACAATGCCACTCTCAGCTGCACCCTGCAAAAAGATTTTCCAGCTCGCGGGACCACAATCTATGTGTCGGCAGCCTGAGAGCGATTGTTACTTGGTTAGGTTAATTACGTAATTAACCCTTCACACTGCCACCACCACCTTTTTACAGAGAAGGAGGAAACTCACAAATCCGAGCAATACCACTGTGATTTTAGCTTAAGCGTCTGCAACACACATTGTCACCACAGAAAAGTATGTTCAGAGGATTATTACATACAGTAGCATGCTTCAAGAGACAGGGATTCTTTAGTTTGCATTAAAATCTTTAGAGACAGTTTCAACACTTTTTAAAATAGGATTTATTACTAAAAAGCTCAAAATGATGCAATTAAAATATTTACAGAAAAA